CGACCACCAGGGCACCCTAATCCAGTGCTGCTGCTGAGAGAAGTCAAGTCAACACTGACCCACAGGAACCTGGGCATCCTCAGAGCTCAGTCGTCGCCTCCAATTGTTGTTGACCTCACCTTCAGCCTGACTCCACCTCACAGATCGCACTCACCATTTCTGTTCTGCTGCAAATTGGATTAGGTTCAACTCCACTGGATAATTTTTCTTTGATTAACACATTTACCAATTTACAGTCATTACATCAGCAGAATCTTTTCTGCCAAGTAATTTAACAAAAGCGGGACCGATAGCTGATCAAAACGTTAGGCTGAGAATCCAAGCACTATGTTGAGATTCTGCCTACCGCAACAGTTTTCATCACTGTAATTAACTTCAACACGATTCCATTCTTATAAAACTACTGACATTGTATTTGGTGGAATTTTATGTTTGATTTATTCCACTTTTGACTCAGTACATCCGAGAGAAGTAATACAAACTAAGTTGACTGGAAGTAGTAAATGAGAAATAGATATTAAAAGTAGAGTTTGATTCTTCTAAGACTGCACTCCTTAAGTTTTATCTTCCTTTTCTGCATATTTATGAGTATTCTGAAAGTCTTGCCCTGTCTGAATAAACTGACAACCTTCCTCCATGGCACAGTCACGTGACTTCACACTGGCCTGGGGCAGGAACAGATCCCACTCCAGCTCTGTTGTTAAGTGACTCAATGTTTGGTCAAGGCACTTACAGAAGAGTCATAGGCTTACAGGATTTGATTCAGAAAGTATGTTACCATCACCAATGGGGGGGGGGATCACTTGACTTTTTAATCATCACAGACAATTGCTGCCAAACCCTGCCGGCCTCCCTGTGTGGAATGTCATTGGATCAGCAGACGATCCGTTATTTATAAATACAAAACACCACTTTCCCTGTATTGTATCAAAGGCGCATTTCACTGGTCTCAAAGCTCCAGACCACTTGTGGCTTGCACCACTGTCCAGATTGAGTTTTCTTTGTTACGACAATGAAGTCTTACTTTCCTTTATAGAGTTGAAGAATGCTAGGGTATCTTTTCTTGTAGTTATCAATGAGTTTATGAGTTTTAATTGAATACAATCAAGTGGCATTGGGTCTCTAAGGTCAACAGAGTTAGCACTGAAACAGTTCTCAAAATTCCCTGCTCCATCCTCGTCTTCTGGGCCAGATTCAGAGCCCAACACATACCCTCCTATTGCACGCGATTTTGAAGCTCAGCCTTCCAGAGCTCTCGCGTAAGGAGGCCAATGTCCACATCGCTGCGTCACTTATTTTGAAAGGATCCTCCCAACTCAGCTTATCCATCTGTTAAGTGAGCTAACCAGCAACAGAATTTTACTAAAGATTTCCATTGACCTTCCTGCCTTTCTCTGAAAAATCTGGATTTGTCACATTCTAGTTAAAACTGTCCAGTCTACATTACTGCCCTCAAACAGAAGAAGTACCAGACATTCTATGTACTATGTGTAAGAAGTTGAACATGTAATTGAAAAGAATTTTAGTAACACCCAAATAAACAATTTAGTATACTCTGTAGTCAATTAAGAGTCAGTAATCAATTATCATTTTAAATGTTCACCATGGGTCAATTCAAGTTGAATTTGAGCTATGACAATTATTCTCCTGAGCAGTGACAGGAAGCCCATAAGAACAGAGAGCACCCACAGGCACGGGCACCCACAGGCAAAGGCACCCAGAGGCACGGGCACCCACAGACACGGGCACCCAGAGGCATGGAGGTCCAGTTCTTGCATTTCTCCAACTGAATTTTATTCAAAGCCACTTCCTCTTCTCTAACCTCTAACTTAACAGAGAAAGTTTATCACAATAGAGTTATCATTGACTGGCTCTGTGGGTGGTTTTCCTTTCATATCACAGACAGGTCCACTCAGTACTTCTGTCAGGGTTTCATAGAAGTGAGTCTCTTGGCAGCTGGGGGAGGAGGTGTGTGTGTTTACTCTCACATCCCACCCCAAACCCCCTTAACACTGCAGTGTGGTTATAACAGGAATGTGGAGCTCACCTGCCTCCTGCTGAGAGAGAAGCTTTGAAAAACCTTCCATTCATGGAGTTTGACAAAAACAGGTGGCACTCAGTTGTGTGAGAAAATGCAGCCCTAGGAACTGTGGCTGGCCCCTGCAATGCACTCAGTGGACTCACCATTCTCTATGACCCACCTGGGGCTGCCACCGAGCCCATTCTCCCTCTGTGACCCCACCTGCGCAGGTTAAGTTCCATGGGGTTTTGAGTGCAGGAGCCTAGTGTGTAGTGTATTATGTGTTCAGTTGGATTCCAAAAGCAATTAAATAATGGCACAACCATTTCAATCCTAATAATTCCCTGCAGTTCTAATAAATTAGTGCTGCTTTGTGGGAATTAAACCTTGAAAATGGGAGGGAGTAGATGGGAGGAAGATATGAAAATATTACATATTTTTTATCAGGAGAGGTACAGGCAAAAATGGCTCATCCCCAATATTTCCAACTCACCCCCCAAATAGAAGTGTTTCCCAAATCATGCTCTGAGTGTGAATCTTGCCCAAGCTTTGCTTAATTTAGTCCACGTATTTAGTTCTAATTTAAAGATGCATTGTTAACCTTGTAAAAAATCAAGACAATCCACGTAAGAGAGGTTTCTGATTTCTGGCTTCTCACAGGGGAGAAATGGAGGATTAGTTCATGCTTGGCTCACATTTTTACCTAATAAAAATTTTTAAAAAGCGAACTGAAGAACAGATTCAAACCTAGAGTTGCTGTAATCAAGGATGCTCTGGGCAGAATATTAAATGATCCAGGAAGTATTAAAAGAAGATGGAAGGAATATACTGAGTCATTATATAGAAAGGAATTGGCAGATACAGAGGAATTTAAAGAAATAACATATGAGCAAGAGCCTATGGTGATGAAGGAAGAAGTTCAAGCTGCTTTGAAGGAAATAGCAAAAAATAAGGCCCCAGGAATAGATGGTATACCAATTGAAGTATTTCAGATATCAGATGTTGTCCTGGATGTGCTCACCAAACTATGCCAAGAAATCTGGAGAACCACCACTTGGCCAACTGACTGGAAGATATCTATATTTGTTCCCATTCCAAAGAAAGGTGACCCAACTGAGTGTGGAAACTACAGAACAGTGTCATTGATTTCACATGCAAGCAAGATTCTACTGAAGATTATCCAAAAACGATTAGAACAGCACATCAGCAGAGAACTGCCACAAGTCCAGGCTGGGTTTAGAAGGGGTCGTGGTACTAGGGATATTGTTGCTGATGTTAGATGGATCTTGGCTGAAAGCAGAGAATACCAGAAGAATGTCTATCTGTGTTTCATTGATTATGCAAAGGCATTTGACTGTGTGGATCATAACAAACTGTGGCTGACTCTGAGAAGAATGGGAATCCCAGAACATTTAATTGTGCTAATGTGAAACCTGTACTTGGATCAAGAGGCAGTAGTCAGAACAGAGCAGGGTAACACTGCATGGTTCAAAATTGGGAAGGGTGTACGTCAGGGATGCATCCTGTCTCCATACCTTTTCAACATGTATGCAGAGCAGATTATCCGAGAAGCTGGGCTCTATGAGGAGAATTGTGGCATCAGGATTGGTGGAAGATCTATTACCAATCTGCGCTATGCAGATGACACAACCCTGCTTGCTAAAACTGAGGCGGACCTCATGCACTTGCTGCGAAGGGTCAAGGACTGCAGCCTTCAGTATGGACTGAGGCTCAATGTCCAGAAGACAAAGATTCTCGCCACTGGACCAATTGGCAGTGTCAGGATGGATGGTGAAGAGATTGAGATTGTTCACAGCTTCAGTTTGCTCAGCTCCACAGTCAACACTCTTGGTACCAGCAGTCAGGAAATCAAAAAGCGTATCGCGATGGGAAAGCCTGCTGTTAGGGACCTCTCAAAGGTACTCAGGAGCAACAGTGTCTCTCTGGAGACTAAGGTGTGCCTGATACAGGCCATGGTCTTTGCAATTGCTTGTTATGCATCAGAGAGTTGGACAATGACTTGGGGGGACAGAAGGAGAGTGGATGCTTTTGAGCTGTGGTGCTGGAGAAGGGTACTGAATGTACCATGGACTGCCAGGAAAACAAACAGATTCATCTTAGAGAGGATTACTAGATGCCCACTTTTCCAGGGAGAGAGACAGCAGTCTCCTCCTATCAGGATTCACAGGCTCTGAATCGAGGGAGGGTCATCATGAGTTAGATACTCCTTAGTTTTTACCCACTAATACTTAGAACCTGGAGAGAGGATGAAAGGCACCCAAGCGTTGAGGACTCTCCTTCATAGGGTCGCTATGAGTCGCCTGCGACTCGACGGCACTTAACAGCAACAACAATACTTAGAATAGGGGACTCTGGTTGCCTTGTGGTAAGAATCTGTGCTGCAGTCCCAAAGGCATGTGGTTCAAATCTATCAGCTGCTCTGAAGGAAAAAGATGGGCAGTCTCCTCCCGTGATTTACAATCTCAGAAACCCAATGGAGATCACTATTAGTAAGTTCTGACTCAACGGTAATGAACTGAGTGGAAAGAGTGGCTGGCTGTCTTCTTTGGAAGGATCCTGACTCTTCTGGGGCCTGCTCCCTCCCATCCCTACCTCGTCATCCATTTATTTCACATGTTACACGTTTGAGTTTGTTAGCCTGGGCAATTCCCTCCCTAAGTATGAGTTCAGATTATGAAAACAAAAACTACACCGATATTGACTATACTGGCATAAATGTAATGATGGCTAGCTTATTGCATCTCAGCCTATTTTTCATGACGGTAGACTTATTTTTGGTTTCCAGCTTGGTTTATACAATTATCTCCACAGTATTTTGTATGTAATGCAATATGTGGGACGGGGAATGACACATTATATTTGCATCACTAAAAGCAGTTTCAGTTGGCTCAAAGAAATGCAAGCTCTAGACACGCTTCAAGTTGATGATCAAATCCATCCGGTTCACCTTGGGACTGACCTTGGATCGCGGTGGGGCTCGGATGTACCATTTGCAATCCACAGCCTCGCTGGAGGAAGCTTTGCCTTCCTTCATAATTTGCAGAGACTCCACGATTCCTTCGGGGCCGCCCGTCTCAAACTCACAAGCTAAATAACAAAATGCCAAACAAACATACAAAACGGAGCTTGAATAATAAACCAACAGTGTATTTCATAGCAGAAAGCAAAGGTCTCTGAACATTATTAAATATTTCATTTACCAACCTGGTAAAGGCTTCAAAACGCCAAGGTCCTTAAAGTCAGGATCTTAAAATTGAGAGAAAAAAAAGCCACAATTAGTCCTACTATGCATTTATCCCTATAATAGTGTATTATATAACAACCCATTAAATTGTTATGGATCATGGCCAAAAATGCAAATTAAAGAAAACAAAATTGTTAATAAAAAGTACATGAAAACGGTATGCCTGAAACGTCTTCAGAAGAAGCCATTTATAAAACAACAAAAGGTCCAGAGTTATTCCATGATTTGTTCATCAACAAAAACACATCCTCAATATCTGGAACTCTGGAATTGGACAAAAGTGAAAACCCCTTCCACCAGTTAGGTAGCATTGAAATGAACCTTCATGTGGTCTAGATATGTTTATTTTTGTCATATTCAAAAGAGGATTGTTGGAACACGAGCACCAACAGAAATACTAGAAGCGTAAGGTTAAGACACCCATTCAGGAGTTCCTGCAGGCCCATTTCCTGCACTCTCTAGTCGGAGTCAAAGCCTTTCCCCTGACTGGGCTCACTGCCAGCTTCAGTGCATTTCTCACGATACAGGCAGGTTGTTGCTGCTCCTGTTCTATATCCTGTGATGGAACCAATTTGCAGGTGATCCTCCAGCGGGTTTTCGGAGGCAGTAAATCACATGGCGGGGACTGCCCATCTTTCTCCAAGGAGCAGCCAGTGGATTAAAACAGTGTGTCTTTGTTGTTGTTTTTGTTATGTGCCATTGAGTCACTTGCGACTCACAGCGACCCTATGTACAACAGCTCTAAACCCTTCTCTATCCTGTGCCAATCGCACTGTCTCTGACATTCCCATCCCGATTACCCCAGTCACTGAATCAATCCACCTCATAGAGGGTCTTCCCCTCCTGCGCTGTCCCTCCACCCTCCCAAGCATGATGTCCCTCTCCAAGGACCGGTCCCTCCTTACAACATGTTCAAAGTATGTTAGATGAAGCCCCAGAATCCTTGCCTCCAAGGAGCTGCCTGGTTTAACCCTCTCCAGGATGAATCTGTTTGTTTTCTTAGCAGTCCATGGTACCCTCAATACTCTTCTCCAGCACCACAGCTCAAAGGCATCAATTCTCCTTGTATCCTCCTTAGTCACTGTCCAACTCTCTGATGCATAACAAGTGATAGCAAAGACCATGGTCTGTATGAGACGTGCCTCTACGCAGTGGAATTCCTTAGCGCAGGCAGGCCATTAGAGCTCCCCTCCACTGGTTCACTTCAGAGACAGTGAAAATCCGGTTTCCAGGTCACCCCAATAAAACTAGTATCACACAAAGCAAGTGATACTTCTTTTGTTTCCCAGTGCAAATAAGAGTTAAATTTACAGTGGTCTATAATTTGTTATTAATGGTGCATTGTGATTGTTTCTATAAGGTGCTTTTGAATCAAATATGACTCCCAGAGACCCTGTGCACGGATCTGAATGCAGCCCTGACGATCTCCACCCATCACAGGCGCCATGGCCATCTCTCTCCTTAACTCTTCCTCTCTGTTTCTTACCCGCTTTTTTTTTTTACCCGCTATCTTTTTAAGCAAAATGGTTTTTTTCCAAAGACTGGCCTATTCTGATAGCACACCCAAAGTACGCGAGACAAAGTGTGCGATAGCATTATGAATAAAATGTGAATTTTGTGAGAACTGCCGAAAATGTAACCAATAGACAAAGAGTGAGTCATTGGAAAAATGGCATCAACAGACTTGTTCCATGCAAAGTAGCCATACATATAATATACACATTTAACTTGCAAAAACCCCAATCAAACAACAACAAACCCCAAAAACAAAGCAGAGCGCAGGGCACTATCCGCCCAGAACAGTGAAATGCTTGCGTCCCTGCGTTCGGCTACCAGGCATCCCCAGGTTCCTTCCACCAATCCAGGCTCTGCTCGCTGGCGTTCTCCCAGGAGCTGGCTGCTTCAGGAGCCTCAGGGCAGCAGGTTTGTTATAAGCCTACAAGAGTGGCTTCTCTCGTTCTCCAGAATTGACTGTGACACAGGTATGCAGCCAATGACGCTGGAAGGGAGGTGTGTTAAGAGAGTTGTGACAAAGTACTCCTTTGGTTGAAACTAGACATCTCGGGTTTTTCTGGCACAGGGTGTAGTCCTCTCTGGCTTCCTTAGAACCAGCTGCCACCATATGACGCCATCAGCACAGAGGTTCTGGGAGTTCTGGGGAATCAGTGGTGTGGATTTACACTGCCAACCCAAAGGCACATAGTTCAAATCCAGCAGGTGCTTCCTGGGAGAAAGCTGGGAAATCTCCTCCCATCTTACACTATCTCCATGATTAGCTCTGAAAACCCCCTGGGGGATCAGCTACAGTCAGTTCTAACTCAGCAGCCAACAAGGGCAGCAGTGACATGTATTTCCTCTCCCCTGAGAAGAAGGACAGCGTGGTGGCCGCATCCCTGGGTGTCAGAGGGCATCACAGAGACTGACTGGATGCACACACCTGAGGGACTCAGCTCTTCCCTTCGTGAAACACTAAACAATCCTATATCATCAGCCGCTTCACATCACACTTTCCTTTTCTATGACAGCACTGATGGCCGTGTTTCTATCTTGGAGATATTTAATGCCCAAATTAAAAGAGGATTGCAAAATTTAAATTGTTCAAACTACTAACATATTTATCATGAATTAAGTATCTTAACGAAGTAGAAATATATTCCAGGGCAGACAGTTCAGCAACGGTTTGGGATGGAGTAACAAAAGGCGAGCACTCCGCAGAGAAGGGATCCCGGGGCTTGTGAAGATCAGGTGTGCTCGCTGGAATGTGCGAGTGGATCTATGTGCATCTCCGAGTGTCCGGTGTCTCAGCGCGCTACACACGACGTGCAAGCTGACCAGACCACGTAAGTTGTCTTTCATCACAGATTTCTCACTCTTGCTATCAATCACTGGCATATTGAAACTGAAATATCTACACCATTGAAGCCACCACCTACTTATGCCAGGTATTTGGACTCATTTTATGACGTTTTATAAACAAAACAACAAAAAAGGCCCTGTCACTTCTGCGTTGGTACCCACTCATATTGACACCATCTGTTTACGCTGTATGCCATAAGACATTGGTAGAGCACGTTAATAAATGAAGCCAGACAGGAAATGCTAGGAAACTAATGTTCTAAAAATAATGTGAAGTGTTCTTTTTCAAACAAAGGAAAAATATGTGTGTGCAATTTCATTTAAAAAGAAGTAAACTGTTCTCCCCACCCCCCAAAAAAGCGTGATTGGCTCTTGAGCCTTTGACCAAGGGTGGAGGCACACTGTTCCATAGTCTTGTCAAATACCATAATGGTTACACATTATGTACAATGTTTGGATGCGCTTCCAGAATGATTCATGCTGGGAAGCAGGAGTAGCATCCTTTTGCTAAACTAGATGTCCCTGGAAACTCTACAGACTCTCTAAACTCTATAAATGTACAGAAATGATGTTAGTTATAGAACAGAGTTCAAGTCTTTCGTGCAAAGCTTACTCTGAGTCATATCCGACTCGAGGATACTTAACCACTGCTAAATGAGACTAGTGCCGTTCTATCTGGAGGAACACTCTTCCACTTTGCACATCACTCTTTGTCAGTGTGCTGTATGAGGTAACCTGGTTTGCTGTGATGCTAAACCTTGCATCATTGGGTATCAAATACCAGAATGGCTTCCCATTTTGGACAGTGTTTGGTGGAGCTCCCAATTGGAAGACAGGTTTGGAAGCAGGAGTGGCATCTAGTTCCTAAACCACATGCCTCTGGAAACTCTGTGAACTTGGAGAAATGATGATAGTAATGGAAAGGCATTAGGTCTTCTGTTCATAGAGTCACTATGAGTCATGCTCAACTTGATGGCAAACAACAACAACACTCAGATTGGGGTCAGTATTTAAAGCTCAGTTACTGACATTGAAGAGACCTATCTGTGTTGTCCTTATTTTTACATACAGCTTCTCCATCTAAAGAAGAAAATCTTTTTCCCCAAGTAATTATATTCTTTCTACTCTTCTGCATACTGTTTAATTATGCTCATTATTACTGCTCATTATCTGCTTCTTGATTAGGATACTTTGGCTTTCTATGACTGTTCTTATGATTCCTGTGGAAACGTAGTTGGTATTCTATTTCCTGGTCTGAAGGCTAACATTTTTCATTTTTATAATTCATGCCAGACAACTTTGAGAGAAATGCCAGTTCTGGGAATTGAAAATTTATTTTTGTCTTTGTGTTAATGATGAGAGCGCTGATGGTTAACAGGAAAAACCAGGGCCTGGACGGGGGGATCAAGTGTTTCTGCAATTCCTTCTGAATTAGCATTGCAAGAATAGATGACCTACAGCACTTGCAAAAAGCAGCAAATAACCAAATAGCAATAGAAGAAACAAATTATGTTTCTTAACTTCCTTTGCAATTGCATGTGTTCATGCAGCTAAGTTAGGGACGATGAAATATGAACAAAAAGCTGGGGGAGGGGGCTATGCAGGGTAAACTCTCGTAAGTTCCTTAAAAATGCCCCTGCGCTCTCTCTCTCTTCCATGGCCAACCTCAAGGCACAAGTGCATGGTGCAGAACTCCGTCATGCTGAATTCCTCAGCAAGTATGTAAAGTACAACGTTACATAAAGTACTTGAAGCATGTAAAAGTCGTCTATTCTCTGTGTCAAGGAAGAATTAATAGTAATGTGAAATTACTGAGATCTTAGGAACCCTCATGACACTATTTTGAGCTCTTCACTCCAACTAAAATGTTGGCGCTCACCAGCAGCTCCTTGTCGGCAAGACGTGAAGAGGAGCTTCCATGCTCACCTGCCAGGAGCCTCTAGAGGGCTGTTCTACAAGGTCAACAAGGTTCTACACAGTGATGCAGCGTCACTCAAGAGCAGCGTGCAGCAGAGGAGGAGGCTGTTCAGATGATGCTGTAATCATTACTGCTTAACTCTGAGAAGCATACACATGGTCCTGAGATAAAGACGAGAAATCTCGCGCCGTGAGATCACATCTCATCTACTGTGAGATTTACA